TATGTTATTTCAGTTGTATTCTATCCTGCATGCTTAGTACCTTTCAAGTACTAATGCATAGTCTGCGCTACATCTTCTTGTAATGTAGGTTCAGGTTCTCAGCATCCAAATCACGCTTAGATCGGTTCCCGATCTCTAGTTCGGCAGAATCAGTGGTGAGTCCTCATTCTCCGAGGACAATAGTCATGAGTTTCTTTTCAGTATTTTTAGTCCTTTAGTTTTAGTTTTGCTAGACTTAGCTAGGGCCTGTCCCAGCATTTCTAGTCAGTTAGAGGCTATTTTCAGACATAGATTGACTCAGCTTGGTATTGAGTTAATATCTTCTTTGTATTAAACTCATCAGTTATCATTTATCTCAGTTAGAATATATGGGTATTCCCTATCTTTTCATTTTTATTTATGGTTTAGCTTCTGCATCAGTTTATTATCTTCAGTATGCTCATGATCATGCCAGCAGGGTTAGCTTAGGATCACTTGTGGTCCTAGGTCCCATATCCGCGTCTCGGGGGTAGTCTCGGGGCGTGACAAAGATCCATGACATCCTAACTGAATTGAAAAGTAAATGAAATCCTCCGGAAATAAGGAGGTTCACCATAGCTAACTCGAACTCCCGGATGTATCAACGAATCTCCTGTTGATGATCCCGAATAAGTGTGTCTGCATCATGAAAAGATGCAGGCTAAATGGCTCAGTACGTGGAATGTACGAGCATGTAAGGGGAATTCTAAAACACAAACATAAGCTTGAAACTTGATAAAAGGAAATATACTTACCTCTTCTCAAACTTACTCAACTCAAGGAATACTCAAGGATATTCAAAACTACTCAAACTTACTCAACTCAAAAATACTCAAGGATAAGATACTCAACTCAGAGATTAGATACTCAACTCAAAGATATGATATTCGACTCTGGGTACTCAACTCAATATAAAGCAACAATACATATGCAATATATGGAAAGCTTTATAAAACAGTAAAAATAACTTAGTTCGTTAAAGAAAATGCAATAACAAACTCAACTTTACTTATATAATAAAGTAATATAGTTTTTGTGGGAGTTTCTCTAACTGACAACTATCACTATGAGACTAAGTGGTGATACATCGTCTTGCCCACGCTGCCAGAGCTGTCCTATACTTTGCCGTCATATAGAACGCTTAACTTAGTAGATCCACTAGCTTATGCTAAAAGCATCTGAATGAGTCATCTAAAAAGTATGATCCTTTACTACCCATGATGGCTACATGGTTTATGGAGACATGAGTTATCTGAACTCAAACTCGCCCCATATCGGTGCTCAATACTACTCCCAATATATACTTAGCTCATATATTTGTAAAAACGAAACTCTTTCTTTAGTTTGAGATAATTACTCAAAAACTTAGCTTAAAAGCTCTCTTGGAATCGATGTTCCCTTTCTTGCTCAAAACTCTTTTTGGAAATCTCAGTTTCCTCTCATCTTAAATGTGAAAACATTTACTCTTGGGAATACTTAGTTCCCATATATCATTTTTAAAGAAAATGAACTTTACTCTTACTTTTTACTCAACTTCAAAGTTTAAGTTTTAAAACAAAGTTTAAACATTTGTAAAGGACTTCTTAAAAATATGGTTCACGCCAAATTATGGATTTGAACGACTCAATGCAAGGTTTTCAATAACAATAGATAGAACTCAAATAATTGGAACTCAAGAACTTCAATGATACTACTAATTTCAAGAATGCTCAACTCAGAGGGTTCATGCGAAATTATGAGCATGAATTACTCAACTCAAAGACTTAAAGATGCTTCTCATCTCAAGATTGTTCGACTTATAATGTTCATGCGAAATTATGGGCATAAACAACTCAACTCATGGACTTCATGGGTAATAGGTAATGATCCCATGATTAGGATTATAATCTCGGAAGGGTTAGGAACTCGATACTCAAGGCTTATAATTTGAAGATACTACTTCTTTCAAAGATACTAAACTGATGGAGTTCATGCGGAAGTTATGGGCATGAACGACTTGACTCAAGGGTCAAAATATCAATAAGGAACTCAGGTATACGACTCTTCTCATTCTCATACTTACTTATCAATACTAAACTCAAATCGATGGTGGATCTCAAAGGATTCACAATTAAACTCAAAGACTTTCTTGAACTCTACTCTTAACTCTCTCTTGAATGTGAATTATGAATTCAAGAGTTATGGTTCATGATATGAAGGATCTAGGTGATAGTGTAGACTCATGAATATATTCTCCTTACTCTCATGCTCACTTACTCGAGTCTTGAAACAAGTTATTAGAAGTTGTAGAAAACTCCTCAAAGGGACTTTCTCAAAAATATTTGAGAGAACTCTCAAGACTTGACTCTCAACTCTACCTTGAATGTGATTTATCAATTCAAGGTTGTGATTTGTGATAGGAATGATCTCGTGATGTTTAGGAGTGTTTATAGATAGTTAAACATAAAAAACTATCAAGAAATCACTGTCTAGAAGCAAGTCCGTGACGCGGAGATGAATTAAAATATTTGGTCGCGAATTAACTTTTGAGGCAGAGAGGTTTGTGACCTCTCCGCGATGCGAAGACAAACTTTATGAAATGGGGAGGCAGGTCCGCGATGCGGAGCAAGGTGCTAGATTCACCCGACTTTTTCCTTCTTCGTTTTCTAACCCCAATTCACCTAAACTCGGTTCTTTTTCTCAATTCCTCTTTAGATTTAGATACGCAGCACATGAACACAAGAGCCTACTCAAAAACAACTGCAAAATCGACATGATTTCATCAAGAACTCAATAATCTCATCTAAACTCAAGAACTAAAGTCAATTTCAAGAACATCATACTTTCAACTTTCTAGAACGAACTTAACGTTGAAATTAACATGATTGGCGTGTGGGTGAACAAACACAACACTATGGAAGCTTACATACCTGAAAGAACCATCTTTTTGAAGGACTTGACGGAAAATCTTGAAAGATGAACCCTAGCCTTAGCGTTTCTTGAATCCCTTGAGCGTAGAAGTTTTTTGGAGTGGATGAGAGGGTTTGATTTAAGAAAACTGATTTTCTACTCGTTTAGGGCAATTTAGATGACCTCCTAAGGGTTTCTAGGAGTAAAATACCTTTAAAGAAATAATTAAAACGAGCTGAGAGTCGAAATAATTTTTCACCAGGCAGTGAGGTCCGTATTAGCTCCGTAACGCGGAGCCATCGCGGAGCTGCTGCCAGGTTTGGGCATCATTAGTAAATCAGTCATTACTTTTTACTCAGAGCTCGAAATTTAGCAAACTCGGTGGCGTTGGAAAGATGCCTCGAAGTTCTTAAATTTTCCATCTTGTAGCTCACCTAAGTCATCCTGTACTAGGAGTTATGGTCATTTGAAGTTGACCCAAAACTTAAGAAAACTTAGGAATGACTTGAATGCTTTTATCTTTAGTTCTTCTTGGAACTCAAGATGCTACATCTAGTGACCTTAATACTTAAGAAATTTTAAATCCTTGCAAAAAATCTCACTCACTACGAAGAACGGTTCGAGTCTTAGCTCAAAATATTTCTAGGGTGTTACAACATAAAAAAAAGTTTTAATCACTTGAATATCAAAATATAGGCATGTTATTAACAATTTTATATTGTCTTTTAATTTTTATTAAAATCATATATCAATTATGTGATATTTAAGAAATATATATTATAATTATATGCGATAGTTTAGTGCAATATAATTCTTACAGATGAATGATACTTTCGTAAATTAATATTTTAAAATTAATTTAGTTTTAGTTGCATTTATATTGTATTTCATTTTATTGTATTTTGTCTCTTTATTTTTCTTTTTTTAGAGATGTGTATATTTTTAAAACCAAATATAAATTTATATTTTAATTTAAATGATCGTACACCAAGCAGACTCTTAGTCAATCACCATGAATTGTTTTGTTTTTTAAATCATGATTCAATTCTATTTTTATAAAACATTAGATTTGAATAATTTTAAAAATTATTTCATTATTTTAAAATAAAATTAATAGATCATATATTCACCAAATAATTTGTGTATGCTTCGCTTTTTCTTGATTACATTTTTTACTGCTTATTATTATATAGTCAAATTTGGCAAACATTTTTTTTATTGTATATTGCAACAAAAAATTAAGATTTTGGAGCATTTTTTTAGGAAGAGTATATTGTAGTTAATTACTATCAAAATTTGAATTTAAAAAACTTTAAAAAGTCAAAGTACTAATAAAAATTAGATTGATAGTACTTTGTCAATATTTAGTGTTTGCAATTTTTATTTTTATAATTTAAATTAATTTTAATAATACTCTAAATGTATTTATTTTGAATGAGAAAATAGTACGTAGTGGAGTCATATTAACGTGTAGTTTTGTTGATTTTTGTGTGTATTTTTCATTTGTTTTTCATTTGCTTCTTAATTATTTTCAAAATAATTAAATAGAATTTATTATCAATAATTAAAGTTACAAAACATTAAAAAAAATAAAATAAAATAAAATTAATAGCAATAATTACCTAAGGTATGTCGTGTAATGATCCTCTAGATCATTTTCTTTATTTTCTGATATTTTCAGTGTTTAGAGCTTTCCTATAGTGACCACAAGTCATATATGACTTGTTGGGACTAACAGTTCGATTTTCGGGTCGTTCGTTTGGATTTTGTGCAATTTTTCGTATTTTGAAACTTGAACGGTTGACTACGGTCAAAAGTTCAGAAAGATGTCCTAGGAATGCAACTGTCATGACCCGAGCCTACACCCTAGACATGGCCGACACTCGAGAATCATTGTTGGTCCCCAAGCGAACCCTCATCCTGGCTTACTTCAAGCGAAAGACTAACTCAAGCATACATAAGCATCAAACTGAAAGAAACGTTTAAAACAGTGTACTGAATCTCAAAACTTCGCTAAATATACTGAGTATGAAACATAAGTTTTAAATTAAATATATGAAATTGAAAGACTCTAAAAATTGTCTATCTATGAAGCCTCTACTATACAAAAATGAGTGTCAGGACAAGACCCACGACTCCTCAAAAGAATTACTACTAACAATAAAACTGGAGTCCTCCGGAAGCAAGGAGGTCTTACTCAAAAGCTGACGAGTGGATGAAGGGATCTCAACATACTCTTGTTAAGGATCTTAAGAACATGTACCCGCATCATTAAAAGATCCAGGTTGAATAACATCAATACATTGAATGTTCGAGTATGTAATATAGTTGAATAACAAATAACTGAAAGAAAGGACTGCTCTCGTCTGTGGTGCCAGTCCAACAATCTGGTGGTCCAGCAGCCTCGGCTCGCCTTGCGCTACTTTCAGAAAATAAAAAATAAAAAATAGAAAGTAATAGAAAGTAGAATTCCTGAGTCTGGCAATAAATAACAATGAACTCAAGTTGAATGTAAATAAATAAAGGAGTAAAATCATTTAAAGTTTTTCAAAATACTTTCTCATCTCTTAACTCAACATAATAAGTGATATATAAAAATACACTTTAACTCTATTGGGAGATTCTCTAACTGACAACCATCACTATGAGCTACATGATGATACAACGTCTCGCCCACACTGCCAGAACTGTCATATACCTTGTCGGCGTATAGAACACCTCAACTAAGTGGATCCACTAAGCTATGCTTAAAAGCAATAATGAATCACCTAATAAGTATGACCTTTTACTAATGTTGGCATACATGGTTTATGGGGGTTGTGACTTGTCTGAACTCTCTCCCATATCAGTGCTCAATACTACTCCCAATAATATATACTCATGCTCATATGTTTGAAAAAACATAACTCTTCCTCTGGATTGAGATAATTTCTCAAACTACCTTCTTAAAAGAGGTAACTGCTCTTGAAATAACTTTTGAACTCATAACTCATTTAGAAATCTCAGTTTCTCTTTTATCAATGTAAAAATTGATGCCTCTAGGAATACATAGTCCCCTTATATTCATACTTGAAAACTCTTTCTCAAAAAAATAAAAATCATATTATAATATGATCATTGATGACTTGGGAAGTCATATACTGCATAAGCATTAATGGTATATCTAGATACCATACTGCTTAAACATTGATGGCATACTCGGTTGTCATACTAATCATGTTTTAGAAATTCTTTCTTCAAAACTCATCTTTACTTCCTCAAAACTCAGTTTAAAACTCAAGTGTTGGCTTTAAAAAACTTGTCAAAATTTATAACTCAATTCATAGGGTTCATGCGGAATTATGGGCATGAACGATTCAAATCAGGGATCTTAAGAGCAATATGAAAACTTAGTACTCAGAACTCAAGAACTCAAAACTCAACAATATTACTCATCTCATGAATACTCAATTCATAGGGTTCATGTTGAAATATAGACATGAACGAATCAATTCGAGAATCTTAATGCATAACATATAGAAATTAAATAATTAGGAATAGAATTTGAAAAAGAAATAGGAACTCAAGAACTCAAAATCAACTTATCTCAAGAATACTCAAATCTAGGGATATAATCCTAGATTACTCTTTTACTGATTTGAAAGTAGATGTAGGGCGTGAGGACGAATTAGTCCAACACTATGATAGCCTTACATACCTGGAAGAACAAGGTTCATGAAGAGTCTTGAAGAAGAACTTGATTAGAAGCCTTGAAATCCTAGCTTAAAGGAGAAAAAGCAAGAAGACCTTTCTTGAGATTTCTTGAATTAGTTTCTTGAAACTTTATGATCAAGAATTAGGATTCTCATTAATGATTCATAATTGCATGAAGAAAATTGAGTTGGAAAGAATGGAATTCTTGGAGAAAGACTTATCTTGAAGAAGAATCTTGAAAAAATTGAAAGAATCTCGAATGGAGTCTTCTACTTTGATTTTTCCCTTAGGGTTTTGTCTTATGGTTTGAGAGAGAAGAGAATGGGGGATTAAGATATGAAAATTTGATTGGTTTTGGTCTTTAATTAGTCAAGAAATTATTTTAGTGTTTTCTTAGAGGTAAAAAGACAAAAAAAGACCCTTTTTAATGATTTTATGTCGGCTAATTCATCACTGCACTGTAGCAAATTACTTGTAATGACCCTCCTGGTCATTTCTATGTTTTGCCTTGGTGTGTCGTTTAGAGCGTTCCTGTAGCGATCTCAAGTCATTTATGACTTGCTGGGACTGACAGTTCGGTCACCTGGTTGTTCGTTTGACTTTTGTGTGAGTTTTAGTGTTTTTGGAGCTTATGAACCTTGAATGATCGTTTTCGATCAAAAGTTCAAGAAGATGACATCAGAATTCAATTCTAACAATTCCATCAGCTCCAAAAGGGTCATTTTAGGCTAGTAGCATAGTCGACATCACTCCCGAGGTTTTCAGTGTGAGTCGGTGCGATTAGGCGTTTTAACTTTAAGTTTAAGCCTAAGTCTGACTTTAGTCAACATTCTGAGTAAACACACTCGGATGAGAATTTCGTCAGAGCAGTTAGCTCCGAAATGTCGAGTTTGGTCTAGATTGACCCTTCTTTTGTGTCTCGAGGTTTCCGATATTTTTAAGACCCCTTTTGTGGTTTCTAACTTAAAATGACATTTGAGTGTGGAACCCACTTTTGTCAAGATGACCTCTTTGGAAATTTTGACTGCGCCATTGAGTCCGGAATATCAAATTTGGTATGGTTGTATATCTCGTTTGCGTGCACGGGGTTCCGAACGATATTGGAGCACCCTGTCGGAGTTTTAAGTTTTGGAAAGAAATTGCAGAAAAATCTGCTATAAATGCAGAAAATATAAGCAGCCCTTTCCAAACCTAAAACACTCATAACTCTCTCATCTCTCAACCGAATTAGGCAATTCGAAGTACGGGAGCTTCGTATTTTCGGTGGCTTCACTGTAGAGTGTTCGGAAGTTGTCGGGTGTGCGTCGTTCGAGATAAATTTGGTTATAAACCTGACTGTTAGGGCCTTTTTCGAGTTTTTGTTTTTGGCATCCTTGTTTTGGTCATATCTCACTCATTTTAGCTCGATTTTGGGTGATTCAAAGTCTCACGTGTTGGGAATTGTCGTGAATTTGTCGTAGAGTGTTCAAGGAATGTTGGGCACCTTTCGATTCTCATAACTTTTGAGTTTAGACTGCTGCATGTTTTCTTTTAAGTTGATTAAAGTGTGATTTTTCCTTGCATGTTGGGTTTTGCTGCGTTTTGTGCCCCGAATTGTGTTCCATTTTGGAACACAAGTTCGGGGTATTGTTTTGGGTCTCTTGACGGAGTCAAATACGAACAGTTCGGTGCGGGTACCACGATTCCCATTTTGATCCAAATTTGACCCATCTCTGTTTGTTGTGATTTTTGTGTCTAAACGACTGTACTAACGTTGTGATCCTATATTTGATAGAGTGGCAGCGTTTAAGGGTCGTTCGGGAAGGAAAAGCTCCGACAAAGTGATTTAGAGCACGCGCGGTCGGCCTGAAGGTAGGCTACGACTTCCTTTCTTTTAGATTGAGCTTAATTATGTAAAAGCATGTCGATTGGAGTGAATTGGGGATGGGTACCAGTTTCCTACTTTACTTTGATTAGATACCTTATATTAGTATCGATTGGCCATATTTCAGGGTAGTATCATGTTAACCGGTTTAGTAGAGTTGCATGCCTATGTGTTAAATGCTATTGTATGCTTGTATGCTATGCGTTATATGCCTTGTTTATCCTTAACTGTAAGAATGATGTCCTCAGTCTAGGTTAGGCTAGCATTGCCTTAGACTTATGACCCGTGTGGAATGGATAGTCTTGACTTTCTGCCAACGTTGTTCGGATAACTTAGCTCTTTGTAGACTGGAGTAGCAGACTTGAGTCTGATAGTTTGAGCCTTAGATTAGGCGTTATCGCTGCTTGCTGCACTTCTGTATCTTCTCCTTCTAGTCCCGACGCATTCTCGAAGGTTTGGTACATCACTAAAGGTGTGGAGTTGAGATAGTATAGGCTTGGAGCCTTTTCTGTGATTTCTTAGAGTGGAGAGCGTTCCATGGTGGTTCTTGTTGGATTGGATCCTATTAGAGATACCATCACCCATGGGGTCGTTCTTTCTAGCTGGGCTAGGAGAGTATCGCTGGCTGGGTAGACTCGGTGATATGAGCGATCTCCCTCGGGCCTCTCTTTCTAGCTGGGCTGGGAGTGTGCTGCTGGCTGGGTGTCCCCGGGTCGCTCTTTCTAGTTGGGATGGGAGCTGATTGCATGGTAGGACGACTCGCGATATCTACCTCACTCACGGGTCCCTCTTTCTAGCTGGGCTGGGAGTGGACTGTTTGGTTGGGTGCCTCCTAGGGTCACTCTTTCTAGCTGGGCTGGGAGTGCATTGCTGGCTTGGTGGAGTTTGATGGATTATCTTGGTTACTTTGGGCTGGGAGCCCGGTTTTCTTCTTTCTCATTAGACTTAGTTATTCTGTGTACCTGTCGGGCTTATGGGCGTCCGTTCAGGTTTTATTTAAACTTATGCACTAGTGTACCTTCTGGGTTTATGGGGGTCTAGTATGCTCATGTGCTTTTTTTTCATATCCCCTTTGACTTTTCTGTGTCTAGATGCCATCATTTCTTATTGTTTTTACCCTTTTTGCTGAGTCGGCCTATGATGCCTACTGAGTACATGTTGTTTTGGTACTCATGCTACGCTCTGCATCTACTTCGTGATCTAGGTCCCAATACCAGTTACCAGCGGTGATTAGTTCCAGTTTTCTTTTGCAGCTGTGATTAGGAGATGAGGGCGAGCACTTGGCGTTTTGGGTTTGTCTTGTCTCCTTCTTTTGTTTTAACTAGTCTTGTTGCCTTTGAGACACGCTTTGTTGTGGTCCACTTTTGGGACTTGTACTCTTTATTAGATAGCTCTGTACTAGTGACTTCCAGGTTCTGGGAGGGATTTCTGTATATATTTATTTTGGTTTTCTTCCGCCTTGTTGTCCTTGTTTAGATTATTATTTTCTCTAGTTTCTGCCCTTTCGCTCATTGCTTGATGTTGTGGGTTACGGGTTGGCTTACCTACTGGTAGGGCACTATGGTGCCATCATGACTCGAGAAATCGGGTCCTGACAAGTTGGTATCAGAGCCCCAGGTTCATCGGTCTCACTTGTACTGAGCTAACGTCTAGTAGAGTCCTGCGGATCGGTGCGGAGACGTCCGTAACTTATCTTCGGGAGGCTACAGGATGTCTTTAGGAAGATTTCCTCTTTTGTTTCACTTTCGTGCAACGTGTGTCTTATCGGTTCTTTGAAATCTCACTTGTTTCACTATTTCGCAGGATAGCTCGATCGCGAGGTGGCAAGGCCAGGTGTGATGCACCCGGGCCTGTAGATAGACCCC